GTTAACAATAGGTGTTAATTAGGTGTCAACGATAGCCATGTGATGTGAGTATCAGTCACATGGAGGCAGGGCTTAAAAGCCTGAATTTTGCCTGAAAAACTCAGACTGAAGAAGTCTCTTGGAGGAGAGACGAAAAGTTTCATTAGAGAAGAACCCGTCCAGAAGACCTATACAATTTTTTTCTTTTTGATTTTTACCTGTATTACTGAGATGCATCAGGACATACTGAAGTGTAAATGTTACTTTACCAAAACCACTGAATATTCACTCAGTGTGTCTTGTTTTATGCTTTTTTTGTTAGTATTTTTTCATTGTTTGGTATTTTAATTTCTCATTTCCTGTTTTCAGTTTCCTGTGCCATGTTACCCTCAGTCAGCTTCTTAGTGATTTTCCAGCCTGCCACACTCACCTGTCCATAGTCAGTAATCAACCAGGTGCTTCCACTCCCCAGTCAACCTCTGTAGTATTTAACCAGTGTCTTGTCTTCATTTCCCCGTTGGATCATTGCCTTTTATGCCTCGTCTCTGTCCATGTTATCGTCTGCATTTTTGCTGCCACGTCAGCCTTTGTCTTTTGTCATTCATTAAATTACTTTTGTTTGGCATTCAAGTCCTCATGTCTGCCTGCATTTTGGGTTCCACATAATAAATCCTGACACAGTGAGGAGGAAACCAAATTATTCTTTTGATGTTCTATTACTAAAAATAAAAAAGGAATACAAGAATAATGAATACAAAAGGTAAAAATCAATAACACAAATGATTTTCTAAATATGTAATTTGAGGAAATAGTAATTACTTTACCTTCATTTCGTCATACATTGTTACAACATCGAATCTAAGGATTAAATGTTATCTATCAAAACAAAAGTAATTATGGATTCAATTTGTTTATACATCTGAAGAAATTAGACAAAGTTTACTTTTTCTATAAAAAGTTTATTTTGGAATTTGGAAAAAGATGTTCCCACCTGGAGAGACTGTGCCACCCTGTGAGACCAGCGTTTGGGTGGGCTTTGTGAACCCTGGGCCCGTATTTATCAAACTTCTCAGAATTACTCTTAAGAATGCTGCTAAGAGTGGACTTAAGTGTAAAATAATTCGTAGTTAAAAGCTGAGAGTAAAAGTCAGTTATCAAGCGTCTCAGTCTTACTTTAAGTGAAGTGTAGGAGTAATTCTTAAGTGTCAGTCTTACTTTAAGTGAAGTGTGGGAGTAATTCTTAAGTGTCAGTCTTAGAGCTGATTTGCGACACCTGGCTGTGCCGCAAAGCTGATCCTGGATGACGTCGTTAGAAAAAATACCAGCATGGACCAATCACTGCCTCAGGTTTCATGTTCAAGAATATTGTTGGAGAAATGGCAATATAAAACTGCGTAGTGGCAACTCTTAACCACTTAGAAGTCCTCTGGAGCAGTCATAACGTTTCTTGAGAGTAGGGCTGCCACGATAAATCGATGACTAATCGATTATTAAAATAATCGATGACTAATTTAATAATCGATTAACCGTTTTCTTTTTTTTTTGTTTTTGTTCTTTACTTTGTTTTTCTCTCCAAACTGCTTTGACACCTTCCACTGCCACATCTGCCTTTCTGTCCTTGACACACATGCACAGTAGTGGTAACTGTGGTAGGCCGTGGACGTCACAAGACATTATACAGACAGGCTCTGGTATCATGGCTACCTGACAACGGAGCTCAAAAGTGTGGGATCATTTTAAGAAAATGAAAGAGAAACCTGTGTAATATCTGCAGAGCAGAACTTACCTTCCACAGCAATTATTTTTAGTTAGCATATAGCTAAAATCTAAAGATAGTTATATAATAGCAGCTGCATTCTGGCGCGATAAGCTCAACGTTTTATATTCAATTAATGAATGATCCGATTAGTCGACTAATCGAAAAAAATAATCTGTGATTAATCGATTATAAAAATAATCGTTTGTGGCAGCCCTACTTGAGAGTGATGGGCTCGACACAGGGGAGCGACAAACTACAGCAATTAACGGCGGTCATCGCAGCCAGGGTGAAACCCGACACACGGGACGCGATAGCGATCGCAGCGTTGTGAATCGCGCTCTTTCAGGTCGCTTGTCTTCACGAAATTTGATTGGTTCTTAACTCTGAAGGCGGGTGTGCATTACGGACGTGTAAACTAAAAAAAATCTTGCGATGCTAATGATATTGAAAAACAAACACACATCAAGATACAATTTAGGAAAATCTTACCATAAACTTCACTCTGGTGCCAGTAAATTCCCACAAAGCTTTTTAGTAATCACTTGGTGAAAGTGTTAGCTAACTGCAGTGTGTAGCATACTCTCCTCTCATTGGTCAGTCAATGAAACCCTCGCTGATTGGTTGTACGCTAAGCGACAGTGACAAAAGTTGAACATTTTTCAACTTTCATATGTCGCGTCGTAAGCTCGCGTGTGCACGTCTACGTGTACGAGCGTGAAATTTCACATGCACTATTTTCGCCGGTCGCTTAGCTGGAGGAGGGCAAGCGATTGTCGCCTCACCGCACAGGCTCCATAGGAAATGAATGGAGATCGAGCGACGTCGCCTCCCGTGTGTCGAGCTCTTAAGAGTGATCCTCAGACTTAAGAATTTTGATAACTGGCACTTACACTTAAGTCTGAGAGTAGGAGCAAATCTAAGAAATTTTCAGCCCTTAAGTCTAAAAATCCACTTTAAGAAGTTTTATAAATATGGACCCTGGTCTCCAACCAAGAGTCAGCTGAGGTCTGTTTTCAGACGAGGAAGAGTTGTGCTCCTTCACAAAACCTGCAAACTTTGCAGCTCACCATTAAAAAATGTATGTCTTGCAGTTTAGAAAGTTTTTTTTTCTTCTAAATTTTATAAAACTTACTTCAGAGTTAAATCGTTTATTTCTCAGATTTGGACAGACGAAGATGAAAAACATCGGGAGGGAAGACACAAACGAGTGAAGCATATCCACACTTCTGTGTGATGTCAGTTAAAGATTGTTACGAACTCTCTAGAAGATATGAAATGGATTCTTGACAAAAGCTTTTTGACAGACATCTGTTAAAGAGAGCAATTTTGTCTGAAAAATAAAAGTAATAAATTCATTAAAACTTATAAAATTCAATAAAATCAGACTTTTTTTTGCAATAATTGTTCTAATTCTTAACATTATATAAAACTTAATAATGAAATAAAAGAAACTTCATTTAATAACGTTTTTATTAGATTAAAGGAATAAAACATTTTGTCAGCCAGTAGAAGATCTAAATGTTGAAGGACAGGAAGTCTTAAGAAAATATCAAACATTATTTATGTCTAAAGTAATTTTAAATAATAAATAAATTACCAAATTTCCCTCT